GTGAGTCGTTCAAAATCTTCTGGAAATTGTTCTTATCAGAATATTGTCAATTATCTTATATCAACAATTTTCTATTGTGTTTAAGAAAACTGGATAAGGTAAATCTCGTCTCCTAAATAAAATTTCAATGATCAAGAAGACATGACCGAAAAACCGATTCTCACACAGATAAATCATTCTGTTAAAAATGGAATGTTCTTGTCGAGAAAGGGTCCATAGAAAAACAACCAGTTCAATGATTCACTGAGTCTATTCGTGTGTTTTACTTGTTAGCCGTATCTGATTCATAATTTTTTTGGGTAGTCAGTTTTTGAATTTTGAATTGAAATATGAAGTATTCTAAAATATCGACGTCGGAAACTGTATTACCCTCAAAACTAGGAAAAGTGCTTCGATTAATAAACCCAACCCATACTTTTCGAATTCCGGGTCAGCGTCGGGCCGAAAAAAATTCTTCTGGCCCGGCCCGACGCTGATTTTTTTTTCAAAAATTCTTTAAAAAAATTATTTAACTCCACCTCGAAGAAAATTTCTTGAGATATTCCTTACAAATGTTTTCAAAAGTTTCAAAAAACTTCAGAATTTTGAAACTTCAGAATCTGAATTTTGGGTCGACAGGGCCGAACCGGCCCGTGACAAACCTACCCAACCAAATATTGCTTTCTATAAATTCTAGGTCGAATGAAATAGTTATTGCTTTCATGGCGCTGGACCATTGTTCTAGAGGCATTCCGATCCTCTTTCAATCTGAGACAATACATCCATTACGAATAAATTACCGTTGCTCATTCTGAATTTCAAATTACTCTTGCATTTGCAATTCATCCATTACTCACGATTTCATGACTTTGAAATCACACATTTTGATATTAATCCTAGACTCGAGTTTTCGTTTATAGACTCAGATTGTTAGTTCCTTTTGTTTCCCGAGAGATAATTAATTGGATACTGATCTTCTAATAGGGCAGAATGAGAATGAGATTCCAGAACAAAACCTATTCTTTGTCACGTAATTAGCTCACATAACCACTTCAGAAACTGCTCTAGAAACACTTAAAAAGCGAGAAAGAGAGAGTTGAAACTCTTTCCGAACTTTTCTCTTCAGTTCGAATACTACACTAAATCTCAAGAACAATCACGAGTTTTTGGCTTTTCTGGATGAGGTGTTTAGATTTCTGAAAGTCTTCTGTTGTTTTTTTTTTCATTCAAGCGTTTCTAAATGCATTTTTCTATCGAACCCAATCGGTGTGGATTTAGTTCAAATTTCTTTTGAATTCGAAAAGTCCTTTTTCCTATCAGTACCTGCGTTTTGAACCTGCTTACAGATTCAAAATTAATTTTCTTATTCTCCACCAAAATCTCCTAAATCTTTTGGGTTATAACTCGTAGTTTACAAAAATTGTGGGGTCATTGGAGAACAAAGCGGTGCAGGGATACAAAATCCTCAATTCTGGGGTACAAAATATCTCAAAAAATCGAATTTGACACATCCGAATTGTGGATTTTGTACCCGTAAATCACTTTGCAACCCTTGTGCCCCCGAATCGAATCGTGGTACCATCCGAATTATGTGCCTAAAACGTTCGATTCTATATCAAAATTATGATTATTTAAAAGGGTCCTATCGTCTAAAATCAAGGTCAATTCAGGAAAAAGAGTTTTCATTTAAGTTTTTTTTTCAGAAAATAGTGTTTTTTTTTCAAAATTATAGGCTGAAGCACATGCTAAGACGCAAAGGCATCATTGTTATGAATCGTCGTGTTTTCCTTCCAATGTGACATGCGAATTCAAATTTTGAGTTATTTTTTTCTCAAAGGCTCAGAAGAGCCATTATTTTTCAGAATGAACCTTTTTTTTGACCCAGAAACCTTTATACTAGACACTTTCGTGGTTTAGTTCTTCAACGCATCTCACTATGAACCATTGTGAAGTTTTCCAATTCTCTAGAACATTTTGTTCCTTGTCCATGATAGTCATAAATAGTGTCATCACTTATCCTTCATTTTCTACTTCACTTTCTACTTTCCTGTGACATTTTCTTTTCTCTTCACGAAACTCATCGTCAACTTATGAATCATTCCGCTCGTTAGAGCTCACTTCTTTCTTAAAAGCCTGATGGAAAATGCTCCGTGAGCCTCTCTTCTCCAAGAGATCTCATTAGCCAAATCAAGGAGTTTTCTTGAGAAATCAAAAGAGAGGAGCTCCCCTTCTTCGACATGCACGCAATCGGTCTCAAATTACCTTTGTTAGCAAGTTGTTTAAGTGCAATAAAACGCTGTAGACTGCTGAAAAAGAGGATGATGATGTATAGAGTTACATCCCAGGAAGACACGCCCATTTTCTTAGGATTTTATGATAACCTATACACTTATTGAAACCCATTCCGAACTCAAAACGGCTTACTGAAATTCCTATATCCCTTCAATAACACAGAAGATGTTAGAGTTAATCAAGTAAGTTCCACTCCATATTGTTGAACTTGGTCAAAGTCATATGACCTTCTGAAGAGAGAGAGAAATCTTACGTATTCTGGACTCTGATTCTCAATTCACCTCCGAGAGAAGGAGACTTTGAAATATCAAAATACAATGGGTGTGATGGTGCACTTTTCACCTGATTTTATATGTACATGTGAACAGAGATGGAAACAAAGAGTGCAAGCACACCATACATTCCCTCATCCCCAAATGTGTGAGAGAAACATATTTATTCTTCAAAAAACCAACATATTTGTAGTTTTGAATTGTAAAATGTGTATTCGTTTATTAAATTTAAAAACCAGAAGTCAAATTGTATTCTGGTAATTTGAGCCGATCTGACTGATGTATTCATGTTCAAATGTATAACTAGACTTTTTCAAACTAGAAAAGTATTGTCTAAACTAATTTTTCTTCGATTTAGTTGAACTAATTATAGTTTTAAAGTTTAACATTTCTAAAGTCTCGGTCCCTAATAATTGTTTTCAAAAATATCCTTTTTTGATACTTGCAGTTTCAAAGCATGCACTTCTAGGTAACCAGCTCAGCGCACGAGAATCTTTCTACTTCCACAGAATTTTTTATTTAGTTTTGCTTAGAAAATACGACTTTCATATTTCATGTTCCTCTAGAGAAATCAGTTGATAGAGTTGTAAACACGAAGATGTCTGGGAAATTTAAGTTCCTTTCATTTTCTATTTAAGTAGTCTGCCTCGTGATTTGAACTAGAACTAAACTAGTCTTAATATTTTTCTCACATGTCGCGAAAGTAGCCCAAAAAATCTGAAAAGAAAAATAAAAAATTGTGGTATTTTCAGATTTTTTTCCCTGTCTCAATAGAAAGACACTCTCGAGAACAATGGAAATAATGATAAAAGTTATGCACCAAAATATTTTGAATTTTCTGTATTTTCCTAAAATTATTACAATAAATTAAAAAAAAATCAAAATTTTCAAAAAACGTCGTTGTGAATTCAAAAAAAAGCAAAGAGGGACAAGGATTTGAATTCCGAGCAGTGAGAAATCTACGCCACGGCCGCGGACTGGCTTTTTTTCAAGGGGTTTTTTACGTTTTTTACTTGGCGGAGATGAACGCGGAGTAAATCCGGGAAAATTGATACCTAAAAAGGCGCACCGTCGCCATGACCTAGGTTTCCCACTGCGCGGGATCCTCGTCCTTATAAAAAATTTTGAAAATACATAACCTCCGGAACATTTATATGCAAAAAATTACAAAAAAATTGGAGAGAGTCCAAATATACACTTTTACACCCCCATCTTCCTAGCAGCCGATCTTTATGAATTTATCAACGAGCATTGGCCAACCCTGTCCTTGATAACAATATGTCTTGTTCTTAACATCATGGTTGTCATCCTTAATTTAATAATTGATAAATAACACCTCCACAAATAATTATTCTGATGGATCATTTCTAGAATAGACGGTCTGTATTTGTAGAATTACTTGTTCCATAGAGACACAGTTTTCCAAAGCAGGAAGTTATTCTATAACTATAAACCTAAAACCATAATTTCCTATTTTTGTTTCAACCGGTCATTATCACCCGTATCATACCAGTGTATACTACTGTAGTATTCCGTTAGTACGTCCCATGGGCTCACCTATTTTTCATTCTAGACACTCAAAAGTTCTCTATATACAAAATGCTGTTGTCCCCATAAATAACAAATCTATATTTCTCTCCAAATTCGTATCCATCCACACCTGATTCCTTAGTAACCGAGCACCTCTCTTGGGGCCATCGCCCCAGATCGACGCCATTTGTTTACCGAAACGGCTCCTTCTAGCGTTTCTTCTTCTCTTCTAATTGGCTCCTCCTCATTTTTCATTTCCTTCTCTTCTCACTTCTCGTCTACTGATTTGACGTCGTTGTCGGTCATTCACCGGTCCCCGTCGTCTTTCAACATCTACTACTACTCACCGTCTTCTCCGATTTCTGCGGGTTTCGATTTTCAGCGCATGCGCAACGACGACACGATCTGAAACTACGGAGAAAGAAAAAAAAAACAACAGAAAAAAAAAAACATAAAACTCCTGACCTATTACTTTATTACTCGCTTCTTCCTTCCTTCCTCCTCTTCCTTATTCTCTAATTTTTCTTTCATCTGAATCCAAAGTATTTCTGAGTCTGACGTCTTCTAACCTGGTTAGAATCTAGGTCAATGGAGCCCATTGCATCGGCATATGTGCGTGCCACATGCGATCTCATACCCAACATTTGTCAGTATTTCATGGACAATGAGTTCAACGCAACGTTGATCCCAAAACACGAATGGTAATTTTTGCAGGTCATGAATGTTCTCTGAAACACAAAATAACAATATGTATACGTCACAACGGGTAGTACTCCTGGTTTACCGGAAGACCAAAAAGGTTTTCAATTACCGGCCGAGAACCAAAGTCAGACTCCAAAAATAGAAAAATTGGGAGTCCCCAGTTGACCGAAATAGAAATAGAAAAATAAGAAACTTAAAATAAAACTAGCACTACATTCTTTCAGGATGCAAAGCGAGGAATTCCTCAATGCTGATGTCACCAAATGGGTTGAGAAATTTGTAAGTTTGGCTGAGAAGGTGTTTGAAAAATGCACAATTTTTCAGAGACGGGACCACGATGGAGACGATTCTGCACTACTGACACTGGTTCCGCCTGGTCTTTATGTGACACTCAACAAATACGTTTTCCCGTTTCAATTCTGTTTTGGAGTCATCGGAAATGTACTCAATTTGTGTGTGCTGCTCAGTAGAAATATGAGAAATGAGGTGAGTTATAATAGATCAAATTTCCTGTAATCTTTTTTTTTAATTTTCAATTTTGTTTCCAGGCAAACATTCTTCTCTCGGCAATGGCTATCTGTGACATTATCCTTTTATTCACAATGTTACCTGGATCTCTTGGTGTTTGGTACCCAGTTTATATGTCGGATTGGTTCAGAACGTTCATCTTCAAATCTGCCACCTGGACAATATTCCTTGCCAACTTCTGCTCTTGCATCACAAGTTGGCTTATCTTAGGAGTTTCTGTTGAGAGGTACATAATTTTTGATTTTTAATTAATTCAAAATCTATCCATTTTTAGATACATGGGAATCAGATCGCCAATCCATTTTCGTTATCATTGGCGCACTTCTCGGGTTTTCTTTCTCATTTTCTCAATTGTACTTGGCTCATTTTTCCTCACTTTCTTCCACACAATCGAGTATAAATACGGATATGCAATGATTCGAAATGGTACCAAGTTGTATGGATCACCGGTAAACGTTGACAATGTGAGCTATAGTTCTAATGATTGAACTCCTTCATTGATGTTTTTTTTTCAGTTGGTCGACGTTCCAACATGGGTCAAGAAGATGATCAACATCTTCAAAGTACTTCAAGTCGTCTTTGGAGTCGTCATCCCAACAATCGGAATCTTTATCTTCAATATGCTCATTGTCTACATGCTTCGCAAGTCTGAATACTTCAATTTCCGTTCAGCCGAGACCAAGGATGAGCAATCAAAGTCAGTTCATACTCAAAAACTCCGGTCACACTTCCTTTGATTTGTTCTTTTTCACAAAACACCAGACAATGATATTTATAAGTTTTGTGGTTTTGAGAAAACAACTAGTGCAAAAATCAGTTTAGAAATAATAATTATAGTGTCTTTGGGGGATTTATTAATTCGAATATTCCAGAAATTTCAGTCGCAAATATTCGGACCTCGAGATTCGCCAAAAGAGAGATATTAAAGTCACCTTCACCGTTTTGGCCATTATTTGCTGCTACTTTGTCACCCACGTAAGACTTTAATTCTGAACATTTATGGATTCTAGAAGATTTTTTTCAGATTCCGTCGGTCCTTCCATTCGTTCTCGAACTCTTCAATCTTCATCCAGATTGGGTCAAGGTCTATGCGATTCCAATGGCTAGCTCCTGGTTAATTACTGGAAAGGTTTACTTTTGGTTTTTGGAAATGTCTTCCAAAATATTTCTATTCAGGTTGCCAACTTTGTTCTCTTCTGCATGTCATCTGTCTACTTCCGTCGTCGTCTCAAAGAGATGATTCGTGGACGAGTAAGTTGTGGATTTGATTGTACTGGTCCTGTTGGTGTTGGTGGACCTGCCAAAAAGGAAACCCAAAATGTAGACAGGTGGGTGGTGAGGTGTGTGATATTAAAAGCTTCTCTTCTACCTTTCGGTTCTGATTTCTCGATTCGATTTTGTTTCTGCCACTTCATATTTACAGTAATATTGTTAGCCAGCTTCTTCTACTTCTTCATCTTATTTTTATTTTTTTACGATTCATCACAAATATTCAAATATCACTTCGAGTGTCAATTATCACACCATATCACCACCCACCACCAAAGTTTGCTTTTTGGTTTTTTTTGGCTCTTTTCATTTATTATCTTATGTTTTTTGAGCATGAAGGTTTGTGAGTTTTATTTGCCTTTTCAGTTTATATTTAGAAGTTTTGCAAGTATGCTTCAGTGAGATCGAGTCTTCAATAGAGCAAACTTACAACAAGCCGATAACCGTAAACTGTTTCAGTTCGACGTGTGCTGCGGCGCAAAAAAGAAATTCAGTGGTGTCTCTAGTGCGCAATCAATTAAAAGTCAAGCTTACCGGCTTACAAGGTACAGTAATCTTCTAATAATCAGCTTAGCGGGAAGTTTGAATCTTTCAGATTCCGTGATCGCGATGACATCCAGAGACAGAGCAGCTGTTTGACTCAAGTCGAGTGAGAATCAATGTTCGTCTTTCAGTTACCATTGGAAGTCTGCGTATCACTTTTTTTACCCAAACTTATCTTCTCCTGTTTTGTATTGTGTTACGGTAATTTTATCTATTTTGAGCCCCTCATTTCTGAATACCGGTGGAGCACTCAATATGAATTAAGACTACCGTAACCCTTCCCACGTCTCACACCTGATTGTCTACCCAAGTGTTTCCCTGTTTACTTGTAACTTTGACTGGTAATTTTTATTTTCTCTTTTTTACTCACACAATCTCTATTATCCTTCCGGTCTGTTTTTGTGGTCTTGTCACGACTTCACAGTAACCAAAAGCACCCTTCTTTGAACCATTCTCATTCTTGACTACAAATCTCAACCAGATAGTTCTTTGAGAACTAGTCCAGTCTTACTTCTCATGTTTTGCCTAAAAATTAGGACGAAAGAGATTGTCTTATTAATAGAAATTCCACTTTTCCCTAAATTGAATATTCCTTTATCATTCACAATCAGTATTCTTCCATATTGAAGTTTTTCGGTTTTTTTCCAAAACAAACCACTCAAAAATTATAGAACCCTAAGGATTCTGTTCGGTCGGGAAATTTAGCCGACCGCCGACCAACATCCGACCGAATTCGTGCGCTTCAACATGCCAGAGAGTGTTTGCGTACGCAGCATTTTATTTTAAGAAGCATGACGTATATTTTGATTTCGTGAATCACAAAACGTTGCGTACGCAAATACTCTTTGGCATGTTGACGCACAAATGCACGAAATCGGACGGCGGTCGGTCTGCGGTCGCCGATTTTCGACCGATCGAAATAGAAGCCTCAATTTAACCTGTTCACTAGGCATCAAAAAATGTCAAGCCCCCGATGATCTGAACTTATCTCAACCACCCCAATTCGTTAATTAATCTGTGATTATTTTCTCCACTCTACAGTAATCATTCTCCTTTTAGATCTCTATTTTCTTTGGGTCTCTTCATTTTCTTTAGTCTTCCCGAGTAGCTCCCAATCATTCATTCCCCAACAACGCTTCCTTCATTCCGTGTACATTTCTATCTTTGATCTCTTTTTGGGTCTCACAACGAAATCCATTTCATTCCACACATACCTACCGCACTCCCTATGCATCGAACCTTTTTCCCTAATCATCTTCCCTCCGGAAAATTTCCCCTTTTGTTTCTTTGTTGTTGTAACAGGTTTCCAATTCCCTTCGATTCAAACTACATTTTCGTATCTTTTAAATTTTTTCTCTGAAATTGTTCCTTCGTGATGTATAAAGCTTTGAAAACTGTATTGTGAGGAATTACTTTTTTTTATGTTCATGCTTTAGGGGGGTGATTTCTACTAAGGGGACGTCGAAAGAAGAAAATTCACAATCAATGAAAAACGGTCCTATGATTCTGATGAGAGAAGTAGTGAATGAAAAAAATAACATCTAGAAATGGAATTTGTGGACCGTGATCAGTAAAAGTTCAGAGTGAGGAGAGAGCAAGAAATGGTGCATGCTTTTTGAGTGCGTGAATCGCGAAAAAAGTAATGTGTCATGGCAATAAAAGGTGTTGCGATGTTTCTATTTGGAAATTGTTGGGTTGAGAGGTGTGGAAGGGAGAGAGTGGTGCTCGTAGAGATTCTATATTATGAGGACACCCATCAAACGGGGGGGGGGGGAACAATAAGATACAGATTTGGGAAAAAGTTATGCATGGATGGGGGGAAACTATTATAAAAGGGGAAGAAGAGACACGTTTTGAAAGTGGTTTAAAATTATTGGATCGGTAAAACAGGCATCAGGAGTCATTTCACAAGAGGAAGAAATTTTGGGAGAAACAGTCATGGAACATGAAATTTATCTACCAAAAAATATTGGAGAGGATCACATTTGTATGACAACTAGGAAATCATATTTAGTGGGATTGATTCTCTTACTTTGTACATCTAGCTGCAGGGAATAATGAGACAGAGAAACAAAAAACATGGTAAAAACTGTTATAAACAGAGAGGTTGGTGTTGGGTGATCCCCCTAGTGAAATGACTTGGCTGAGTGATTACTCGATTGTGGAGAAGCCGAGCAACTGGTTGGTGGCGGTGTTAGGAGACCTCCGACTTGAGAAGCTGTCGCTGCTTCGATGGCGCACGATGGAGAGCGAGGAGCAGAAGAGGGATATGTCTAGAATATAGGGTTCTATTTAGTTTCAATTCAAACTTAAAACTAACCCCAACTCGATTGCTATTCAATCCCAACATCTTCTCATAGTCGGTGAGCTGTCCCATGAAATGGAAGTTCGGTGCAATACTGGCATTTCTTTTTTGGACCCATTCGTATGCTGAGTCGAGGGTACACCTGAAAAAACCGTTACAAAATGCACCCTTCGAAATTCCCACACTCACATCTCTGTTTTCATAAGATATGCCAGGCATATCGTTACACTTCTTGAAATTCCAGCTAGACAATGTACAAGACAAGCCGAACCATTACGGCGAGCGTCTTCTATAAATGATATGGCTTCTGGGAAGAAGTTAAGTTGTGCGAAGCATTGTCATCGGCTGATATTCTCAAATATCTCATATTTGGATCGTCTTCAAACGTATTCGGAAGATTTGATGTGACATTTATGACGTGCGATATAGAGTGCCTGAAAGGAAATTAAACTGTGATCAGAGTCAGTGATTAACACGAAAATCTTCTTACTTATTAAGAATATCTCGATTTTTAGCTGTCTCAGCGTTACCAAGATAGAGGAAACTGGTTAACTTCACTGGGAACTCAGCTCGTTGTTTCCCACCTTGATCTTCGCCTTCTAATCGAAGTTGACTGCAAAGAAATTGTTTTAAAAGTGTATTTTTATTTTTCAAACTCTTACTTTAAATTGAGTAGCGGTCCCCCTGATACTTGTTGTTGACCCACTCCTTGTCCAGGCATTGAATTCATTTGAAACGTAGTGTTCCAATTCTCATCTGCCATATCGCGAAGGGAAGGGAACTGCGAGAGGAGCGAGTTGACGGACTCGCCCAGCACGAAATGACGGTAATCGTTGGACTTCAGATTTCGAGCCAACGCCGTCGATAACTGCTCATCTTGCTCGGTATCACCGGGTATGAGAAGTACTTCAGGACACTGATCAGGAGGATTCTGAAAATGTTCGCTATGGAATTAGATTTAGATTTTCAGTATTCTTACATTTAATTCCTTTAGATCGGGTACTGTTGCGAGCCGCATGGAGCCTCCCATTAGACGACGTTGAAGGAGAGCTGGCAGGCGTAGACTGCAAAAGAAACTACAACGGGATTGTTGAATGGTTCATGAAGGTAAATATTTGAAAAAAAGTGTCTCTTACCGATTGGCTTTCTTCACGGAATCTCCATTCGATCTGCAATCCAACACGATGACGCTACGCTCGTGGAATATCCTGTTGAATTGCTCAGCAGATATCTCGTCGCCATTCTGGGATGTGCTAGGTAAATGTGTTGTCATCTGAAAAGAAAATATATAAAATTGAGAGGAAACACTGAAGAGAACATTAGGTACAGACGATTTAAAATATATGCAAGAATGTACGGAAATTGGATAAAAAGAGAGAATTTTTACGGAGGAGTGTTTTATGAAAGCATAAAAATTTTCTTGTTGTGGGGGCGACGGCGGCGGTAGCGGGAAATTGGGAGAAAAGCCAAAAATCTTTTCGTCTCCGATTCGAGCGAAAAACTTGAGAAAATGTGAACATTTTGCCAGAAAAGTCAGTGTTCAGATGAAGGTTTTAGCGCGTTGGCGGCATCACAGATACGGTAGAAATTTAAAGGCGCATGACAACGGATTCTGAAGGAAAAATGGTTGACTGTATTTTTTTTTTCGAAAACGAATCGAAAAAAGAAACAATTCAAAAAGGAAAAAAAATAACAGTTTTGCCTATTTGTAAATAAAAAACGGAAACTTCAAAAAATCAGTATTTATCATACCAGAGCAATCGAAAATTCAGAAAAGTAATGACTACCCAACAAAAGAATTCATCAAACTTCATGTTTTTGAGCACAACTCATGCGCGTCGGCCGACTAAAATCGAAAATCCTTCTTAAGAACAGCTCAATGCGATCTACGGGGAAGAAGAAGCTGTGAGGGGGATAATCCTTGTTTCGTCATCATCGGCTCATCAAAAGAAAATCGAGGTGGGAGAAAAATAAAAGAATATGCCTTTTCTTTCGAAATCGGCAGTTATCTGTGGGCGCAGGGCTCCCACGAAAACGGTCATAGTTTTCATCAGTGATTAGAAATATTTTCGAAAAAAGGAAAGAAAATAATGAATGGGGTTGGTGGATCCTACGGAAGTATGAATACGTCTGCGGAAGAAGAAGGACAGAATTTGAAGAATGCGTATTTTATGAAACATGTTCTTTCGGTGGCCTGAAAACTGGGTATTCAAATGAAACATGTGATTGCAGCTCCACGATTAACAAGGAGAAGACAGTTTTGTACACGATCGGTTGGCTTAAAAACGTTTTTTAAAAACTCATTCTGAAAATTATATGGCTTCCGATGTCCCATCCTCCCCCACACCTTTCAAAATACCGAGTTATTTCCGAACAGTAAATAAAATTTATTTTCGAAAATTTTCCAGACCCAATTTTGTTTTCTTTCCCACGCATTCAGCTTATGTTTGTTCAATTTTCAGAAATACTAAATTCTGATCTTCCAAATGCACGAAATGTCTCCTTTCTCAACCATCTAATCACTAATCACCAAAAAACACGCCTCGGGAAAAGAACTGAAACTCTTCCCTCTCTTTGATTCCAGAAAAAAAAACTAACAAAAAATAGACAACGAAAAAAAAATCAGTCAGGGCGGGCGTCAAAAGACATGGCGGTGATCGGAAATCAGGTGATTGATGAGGGAGGAAGATAGTAGTCTAAGAAGAGAGTCAGAGAAGGAAAATATGAGAATGAGATAGATATAAAAAAGGAAGTGACCTTCCTTCTTCATGTTTTTTCCCACTTTTCCTTACTATTTTTGGTGGGGAGAAATAGAGAAAAAAGTGTGGAAGTTGTAGAGGACAAAACGCGGAGGTGGTGTGGTGAGAGAACACTCGAAGTATGAGGTTTTTTGGGTGATTTTCCCACGATTCGTCTACAAATACACCCTCTCTTGTGTTTTGCTTTTCCTCAGGTTGAGTTTTGTTGGGTTTTGTATTTTCAGAGCTTGAAAGTTCTTGAAAGCAAATTTTGAATACGGATCAATAGATTTCCAAAAAAGCCCATTTGTATTGTTTCGAGTGATTTTAATTGTTTTTCTTCCAACTAAAAAAATGTAAAAATTCCAGCAAAACAGTTAATTAAAACATTGCAGATATCCTAATCACTCGAGTGATCACTCTAATAGAACGACTCCCCCAAACCATCAACTTTGAGTTTATTCATCTCGATTACTGTAAAAGATATAAAAAAGTAATAAACTGAAAAACAGTTCATCATAGTATCAAAAATATTTTATCAGTTTATCACTTTTCGATATGTCTCACAGAAACAGAGATCATTGAGCTCAAAATTGACAGTGTGGGGGCTCTTCTATTACAGGTTTTAAGGTATTTTAAAATTGGCAGAAAATGTTCAAAGATAGTAAAAATGTCCATCCAAAAAAACTCAGGTGCTCTCTACCATTCTTTCCACCCAAAAGCACACCTTTTATACTTTTTTTGCTTTTTTTCCTGCTACTTCTGTCCTTCTACGCCCTCTGTTGCTCTCAGAAGTGGCGCCGCGTTTTTGCTTCAATAAATTCATTAATTCGTTGTGACGCCAAAAAAGGAAAAGAGTGGAAGAGGGAGAAACAGTCTAAAAATAGTAGTAGGACAACGACAGCGAAAAAGTTTTGACGTAGTTTTAGACTTTCGGAGTAACAAAGAAGAGCTCCAAACACTATTATTAGCTCGATGGACGGAAGGAAGAAGGACCACCCCCATCCACCATGTTTTGCAAGAAATGAAGGTCCCAATGGAATGGGATTTGAGATCTTTGAGCAACTTTTGAATGTGTGGGATTGGGGAAAGCTTTCAAGAGGAGGAACTGGGGGACAGACCGAAAAAATATATTTCCCTTATAGACCAGAAAATTTTTGTGTCAGTTGAAAAAGATCATGATAACTTCAACAGAAACTAAGATAATTAGGTACCGTAAAGACTGTAATGTCAGGTTTGAGGACAATTATCTCTATTCCTGAGCAAGGTATCAAAAGATGTAGATTGAAAAAATCATGTTATTTTGTTCAGTAATTTGTTAATTGACAACTTTTTGATATCTTTCACAGGAATCAAAACAATTGAGCTTAAAGTTGACGGTTTGGGTGGACTTCTATTAAAGGAAATACGGCTTCAAAATTTGAAAAGCATAGCAATCAGTTCAAAAAAAGCTCAAGGAATATGAATAGACAAGATTCATTCGAAAATCAGTTGGATGGTGGTGGTGGTCGAAATGGATATCGTCTTTCCGTTTCCTGCTTCTTCTTTCATTAAAATCTGATTCTCCGATTTCAAAAGTAGTCGAAAAATAACCGCATCTTACAGATTTCATTATTTTTCTTCTATTTTTTCTTTCAAAAAATAAACGATTCATTCTATTTTTGGGCTACTTATGGCAGGAGTGTGAAGCTTCTAAAATGAATTCGATTCACACGATTTGAAAAAAAAACTAAAGTCTGGAGAGTGAATGGGAAAAAATAGAAAATGAAAACTAGTGGAAATGTAGTCATTCGGAATAATGTTCCGGACAGAGCAGATTTGCATGAATTGAATTGGATTAAAAATCATCGGAAAATTAAAAGAGGGATTTTTTACAGAATTTTTAGATCGATTTCTGGTGGCTCTGAAAATGACAGAAAAACTCAAAAAAAAATACACATGTTCGACTGAGTTATTGGCTCATAAACGTCAAAGTCAACTAGACGATATATAAATAGAATCATATGAGAATATAGAAGTGATTATATAACAAGTAGTGAATTTCAAAAGTTTTAATTTTCACATCAAAGTACTGAAATTTCAAAAATTTTTGTGAGCCACGTGAATCTTTTGAATCTCCCAAAAGATGGACCGTTAAGTTTTTGGGAGCAACGTTTTTTTCAACAAATATAACAGAAATATTAACACTGAATATTTTTCCCAAAATTAAAACTTTTGAAAATCACTACTTGTTATATTATAACATGAGAACCCTTTAGAAAACTCATATGAATGGAAAATTCTATATATTGTTTTATTCCGAGAATCAAATAGGAGTGGAATTAAGTGACCCAGAAAAGTCCGCGAGTAAAAAAAATGTAATAATTTCTCGAGAAGCGATTAAATTCAGAATTTCCTGAATATCAAAAACCCTAGATACAATTGAGATAGTGCATGTCAGAAAAATACAAAATTTCGCTGAATATTTTTTGTATTGATACAAACGAAAAATACAAATTTAAATTTATAAAATTTGGAAATTTTATTTAAAATTTTATATAAGTAAGTTGCCGATAAAAAAAAGAGTAAGTAGCTGAAGTAGACTTTTTAGCATTTAGCTCGTGCTCCGTGAGCCGTGAGTCCTCAAGGTGAAAAGAAAAATTAGAGATATAGAGAGAAAGAGACTTTGAGGGGTCATTCATTGAGAGGTCTCGTGAACTATAAAATGCAACAAATCGAACTGAAAACTCAAAAAGACATTATAGGGCAAACTATTCCGGTTACGCAGACACTTTTACCCATATTCAGATGGTTTGAAAATATAATTAAAAATTAGGAGAGTGCCAGAGAAAATGACAAAAATCGTCTTTCTTCAAAACGCCAGAGAAGGACGTTGGAAAGGAAGAAGAAAATGAAAAAAGTGAGAGAAAGAGGGTGGATGGAGGTGCGTGGGAGGATGGGAATAGCATGTGAAATAAAGAGACCAGATAGTGAGCAGAGAAAAAGTGCTCGATGAGCTACGAGCTCTCTCTTTCCATATTTCTCTCTCTCACTCTTTCCATCTCTCTCTCTTAAAGTCATGTCGCTTTTCTTTTTTGAATAAAGGGGAGAATCTTTTCGAAAGACAAAATGAAAGTGGAGAAGCATAGAGAAGCAAAGAGATAGGATTAAAAAGAGTTTTATGTGTAAGTTTTGCACTTTGCACTTGTTCTGTCTATGCTATTCTCTAGTCGCTTTGCTCCTCCTCTTTTGATCTTTTTTCTACAATTTATTATCTTGCCTTCAGCTGTCGCAGTCTTCATAGATTGGGTCGAATTGATGTGTACAGTTTTGTGTTGCACATGGTCAACACAATTTTTCTGAGAATAATATTTGAACTTCAGCTGTTTCTTTTGGTTTCATTGACCAAGTTGGAGGGATCAATAAGACAATAATACCTCGTGAACACATTAATACTCCAGACATAAAGAAAAAGTTGGTGTTTTCTAAGTCATCAAAGACCAAACGTAGCTGTAAGTAATTTTTCATTCTAGCTAAAAATACAAAAAGGCTAATA